CCGTCTATATCGCTTACACCATTATAAGAAAGTGCGTGTTCAAGCTGCTGACATGATTTGAGCAAATGGCCATTCTCTTTGTTTTCATTATAATTTTCACATCAGTGTTTGCGCCTTTTTCGTGCTATATCGGCGCTCTCGCAACAACAAACAATTGAATCACACCTTATTGTTTTCACTAATTCAATATTTTCAATTCATTTAAAACAAAAGAATTTGAAAAGAGTACCTTGAATGCATTTCGGTATTATCATACCATCATCAGCATCACGACTAAACAGAAAAGTCGTCGGTTGTCACGTAAAAACATCGGTCGGTGTAGCATCATAGCAACCGAGACAGCAAATTTGACTCGATGTTCCCGTTATCCAGATTCAATGCGTTGTTGCTCCTCTGAATAAAGTAACTTTCGTATGCGTCTAATTTGCGCGCGTCGCCTATCTCTTTCACCAACCGTAAGTTGCTTATGTCGATGTTCAAATGACCGCTGTTCAATGCATGCAATGCTAAGGTAGAGCGGTAGCCCTGTTTGTTTTTTATGCACAAACAATGTTCACGGAAACGAACTGAAATGTTACGTTTCGTTTGTCCAATGTATTCACACATACAAACGGGGCACTGAATAGCATAAATGCCAGATTTGTGTAAAGAATCAATTGTGTCTTTGGTTGAACCCAACAAATTCATTATTTTGGTTTGATTCGTATACACAATGGTTAAATTATATTCACGAAACTTATTTTTTATCTTGTTCATAATTTGTGGGATATATGGCAAAGCAACTCTAACTTTTTCCACTTCTGGCGTGTTTTGCGAAAACAATGTCGATAAATTAAATTTGTTTATTTTGTCTAAATGTTTTTTTATCAACACGTCGACCAAATCTCCTTTGAAGCCATTTATTTTCGCCATTTGTTTTATGCGAGCGTATTCAGTCATGTAATTTTGTGCTGAGAGTTTCATTCGACACAATCGATGAACCATTGAATGATACGCAGCCAATTTGTGTTGCATGCTACAGTTTGAATCACTAGTTATTGTTCTCAAAGTGTCAGTGGGTTTGTGGTAAATGGCAATATCAATTTTATTGTCCACAGAAGTTGACAATTCCATGTCCAAAAACGATAATTTACATTTATCATCCTCCCTCTCACACGTAAATTTAATCGAATCGAATCGATTGTTGAGCACGTTTAACACTGAGTCAATTTCGTCTTTCTTTATTATCGCGAAAACATCGTCTACATATCTCCACCAGATTCTGGGGAGCAAGTTTTCTTGTTTTAATTTTCGTTCGAATGCCGACATGAATAACTCACTAATCAATGGGCTAAGCGGATTTCCCATGTTAGTTCCAGTCGACACATGATAAAACGAATCACGAAATTGAAAATAACTATGATCCATACACATACGTGCTGCTGGTAATAAACTGATTTTTGTTCGAATGGAATATCAATTTGCTCTAAATATTTTTCAAATTCCTTCAATGCAACATCAATTGGAATACTTGGAAATAAAGAACACACATCAAATGAAATTTTAGTCTCATCACAATTCACAACAACATTTTCAATTTTTTCAGCGAAGTCAATTGAAAATATTGAATTAGTGAAAACAATAAGGTGTGATTCAATTGTTTGTTGATTTATCGGTTTTCACGTCGCTCAAGAACATATTTATTAATTATGGCTCTCGCAACAATTTTTTTCTATGAGAAATGCGCTCTTTTCTATTTTTTCTGCGCCTTTTCTATGGAGAATATATGCGCTCGAGCGCCTTTTCAGTGCCCTTCGGCGCCCCGGGGCGTTGCCCCGAACGCCCCGGTGCTCGCGGAGGCCCTGCCGGGACCCAAAGAACCTGAATACTTTTACTGTAAAAAATGCTGCTTGAGCCGTGTACTTAACATCTGTGTGCTCGTACTTAATACGAAGAGATGGAGTACCTAGTTACTGTGAAAAATTCTATATGCACCGCTCTGCGTGTTAAAATCGCTTAGAAGCAATTCTTTCCTTTTTTTTCTAGAATTCTTTTTTTAAAGCTTTTATTTATTTTGAAAATTAAAAATAAAAAACAAAAAATAATAAAAATTCTTTTTGCTAAGGGCATTTCATTGTGCTTTACAAATGCGAAGAATTGCGAATGTACGAATACAAGCATGGATGACCAAATATGAACAAGTGATGGATGCAAATAATAATATTTCTAGAATTGAAAAATTTAAGTATGTAAGCAAAAAATAAGTAGAAATTTTATAGAGTATTTAGAGAAATGAAACAGGGATCAAATGTTGTAAACCTACTCGCACTTATCGCGAGCCATTCCCATTCGCAGTTATTCGCAGACATTCGCACCTCAGTAAGGTTGGTAGTGGGGATACCGCGTGAAACGTATATAAATGGAGTGTCGTCAAGAGCAGTGAACGTCATTTCGAGTTTGAATCTCGTTGAAAACTTCGATTTTTGCGAATGCACCACTTTTTGTACTTGAACATATTTAAATACGAACATTAGTAAATATTGCGAATGCGTGTGGTGTTCAAATGTAGCGTATGTATGAACAAATACGAATATGGATGACAAAATGTGAACAAATAACAAATGCAAATAATGTCAGAATAATCACACATTTTTTAATTAGATTGTATTAATACGTAGAAAACATAACAAAAAAAAGTTGTATGATTCGAAACAAAAATTACACTCGACATGAGATTCTGGAATTGAGTGTATTATAATATTTTTGATTTGCGTTAATAGTGAAACAACGTCTTTATAAAATTCATGGTGTAAAAGTGGAACATTGAAATCAAAAAGAAAGTGTGAAAAAATGTAATTGAGATTTCGCTATTCCTTTTATTATCGAACACGCCAAACGTGAAAATGCCAAAACTTGCTCTTTTGCTACCAAATTAGTTCTATGAAAAAACATTTGAGAAATCCGAAAAATCGTTTCTTCTGCATTTGACATAAAGGAAACGACCCAACCATCTCAGATATATTTTAATCAATTCAATAACATTTGCCGAAACCCGAGACAATTTGAAGAATTCAACGAAAATTATCAAAGATTTCAGTACATTATTAGGATTTTTTCGTTGAAGTGAGTCTTCGGTAGCGCAATTAACTGGCGAGTTAGTGGACGCAAGATCAAATTATGCTATCAATTTTTTTTAATTTTCTCTTTGGTGTTTAGAGATAATTCTGTGAAAAGTACCAAAATTGGATTTAGAAAAAACTGTGAATAAACCGTGAATAAAACCGACCAAATATAAGAACTTTGACACAAGAACTAAATCATCTTATCAACATTTTCAAACACCTCTATACCAAACAAAATAGTTCGTGTCACAATTTGCAATTGAGCATTGTATTTTCTCTTGATCGTAGACAAAATTGCAAACATAGTTGTAAAAACGGCCTCCTTACACCTATCGTCGCAAAACATAGCAGTAGCGCAATAAAGTTCATCCAATTTAGTTTACATCCAACACAGTCAGTGAGCGGACATATGTAGTGCTGAACACAATGCATTATTAAATTGAAATCATTTTAACAAGTAGATTGCAATAAATTCCGATGCAACAACACTTTGCGATACGTTCCCATTTTAACAGTATTGAATGGACCAAATTTAAAGAAAGAGTATTAAAAAAGTGTATCGAATGTAGTGAAGTCAAAATTTAGTATAATTTGGAAAATCGGTCTGAGCTTTTGTATTCGCACATTCATAGTGCTACACATTTGAATAGCACCTGCGTTCGCATAGACATTCGCAAACATTTGCAAATGCTCGCATTTAAATATTTACATTGCGAATTCGTATTTGCATTCGCACTTCGCAGTATTCGCGAATGTTTAAATCTTTGTCGACCAAATTCGTCGTTTCGTGGCAACCGTATCGGCAAATACGGAAAGGCATGTGGATGGTTCATGTCAACAAAATCAAATAAATGACAAACAAGACTTAAAATCTTTAGATGACAAATCTTCGACATTCTGGTTCTTCCTCCAAAAAAATTTATTGATCTCGAAACCCTTATTTCAAAATTCTCACAATAATTTTAACATTTAATCTCTGATAAACAATTTTTTCCTGTGAAAGTTTTTTTAAAAGCAGATTTCAGTAGAAAAACGAGAAGAATTAATTATTTCCAAGCAATTTATACACACACACACACACGCATCCCAAAAAATTATTTTGACTAATTGCACCATCATTCCACGTTGGAAATATTGACACTTTTAAACAATGTGTTCAATTATTCTCTGATTAGGCCTATTTGCATTTTCTGATGGGGAATCAATGGGTATTTTAAATTTTCTTTCCTTTATCTGTGCCCCAAAATTAACAAAGTACCAGTACTGGTACGCGGGTTGAACTGTCAGAGTGTAAACAATGTTTTTTTACCGCTCTGCAATTTAAGAATTTATTTTCGAGTTTTTTTCGGATTGTTTGAACGTTTTTCAACTTTTCTTTGCCACAACGTGAAAATTCAATGTTAGATTTCATCGAGAAAAGTGAAGTTTATAGCAATCAACCAAAATTTACGGGAAAAAACTGAATCGATTTGTTTTGTTTTGCCGCTTGAATCAATAACACATAAACATAACCACAACATGTCAACAACACAACCGCACTGCTGCGAAAAAAACGATTGTAAAGGAAAGAGATACAACGGATGGTCACTGAATTGCCGATTTTGCAAAAAAATAATATTTGTGGAATGTTTACGAAATCGAGATGAGCTAAGAACAAAAGATCTGCTGCATGTTTTCGGATTGATGTTAAAAAAACCAACAGATAGTGGTGGTTTCAAATGGGAAGTGCTCGAAAATAATCCGAATAGAACGGCTGCTTTCTCTCAAATGTTCAACGTTGATTCACCATTTGGAATTACATGTGAGCCGTGTGTGAAAAAAATTGAAATGTTACTAAGCACTCACAATGATGGTAACACCGCAGCAGCCAGTGCAATACCTCATCAAAATATAATTAACATGCAACAAATGAGTGATTTAATTGCCGAATCGGTTGAGAAGAAAATAAGTGATAAACTGAATGGAAACCTGACACATTTGAGCGACACAGAACCATCCAATCACAAAATCAACAAGAGCACAGATCACAAAATCCTACCTGTATGCGATGAAAATGGTCTCTACTCATTATACATTTCCAAGGCTGATAAATCCGTTACAACTGAGGAAATGATTAATTACGTGATGGAAAAGACCGATCTGAACAATAGTGTTTTCAAAATTGAAATGCTACCCAGTAGAAACAACCGAAAAACATACACCGCATTCAAGTTGACGACGCTTACACTTGAAGTCTGTGAAAAAATCATGTCACCCACAAATTGGTCAACAGAATTTCGTGTAAGAGCGTTTGAAAAAAAATATCGAATGCGTAAAAGTAATAAACGGCAAAATCTTCGCTCTGAAAAACAGCAGGAATTTATACGATCAAATCGAAGTGTAAAAAATCGTAACCGGAACAATAACAACAACAACAATGAGCTTCGAGGCATGAATAATCAACACAGACGCCGACGAGAGAATCGATCAGATGAATTTGGCTACTACAATCGAAATCGTAATAATCACAACGGTCGATATAATTATGAACCTCGCCATCATGAACACCGTGTAAATCATATAAATCATATGCACCATGAACAATTGCCACAGACCAATGTGCCGTTTCCTTTTTGGTACCAAATGCCATATTTCTACCCTCCACCTCAGCAACAGGTTCATTCTCAGCCAACCATGCCACTATTCCATCCGCAATATACACAGGCACCACATCAAAACTTCCAACCGTTCAACGCTCAAAATCACAATGGAATGTAAGACTTGATGACGTTTTGATATATTGCAATAATTTGAACGGCGTGAAAAGTATAGAGAAATCAGTTGATTTTTTATCCGAAGTTTTGGCAGCGATTTTTAAAATTTACATGTTGAGTGAAACGCACCTCAACGCAGATGTTTCTTCATCAGAGATATTTCCGCCGAACTTCGAAGTATTCAGATGCGATAGATCACCTACCACTGAACAGTTTCAGCGTGTCAAGAGAAAGGGCTGGGGCGGTGTTCTTATCGCAATTGACAAGTCATTCAATCCGCAATGTATCGGAACAGCTGAACATCTTGGTGCTGAACAAGTATGGGCCAAAGTAAAATGCAACGGCAGAAACTTGATACTGGTCCAAGTTTACATCAGACCAGATTCACCGTTGGAAGTTTATAAAGCCCATATGAATGCATTGCGTGAAGTAGCATCAAAAGCAAATCAAAATGATGTACTGCTTGTATCAGGTGATTTCAATTTGCGCAATCTGATTTGGTATACATGCAACACAAATAATACTCATGATCGTGATATCAACTTTGAGGCGAATCCGGAAGTAGCTGTTGCTGTAAATGTGGCGAGCGAAAAAGAGAAAATTGTCATCGATACGTGCCACGAGCTGGGTTTGTTTCAAATATGTACTCACCACAATGAAAACAAACGAATGTTGGATTTGCTATGGACGAATGAGCCCAACATGTTCACATGCAATATGAGCAAAAGTAAAATAGTAAAAAATGAAACACATCATCAAGCACTCGAGGTCATCATCCATGATAAAATTGACAGCAAATCAGATGATGTGATTACGTACAAAGACTTCAAAAATTCTGATTACACATCGATCAATAATTTTTTGATAATGCCAACTGGAACAATGTTTTCAACGGAATGGATTTAAACGATGCAATTGATCAGTTCTACGCAATAGTCAACACTGCAATTGATACGAATGTTGAAACGAGAACGAAAAAACACCAAATTCATCCGAAGTGGTTCGATAGTGAACTGATCAATTTGAAGAACAGAGTCAACACATTGCATAAAATGAAGAAGTTTGACACGACTGATGAAACAAAAAAAGATCACGCTGAACTACGTCGTGAGTATAAAAAGAAATCTCGTTCTGCTTTTAGGAACTACAAACTCGAGATGGAACAATTGATAAATGATGATCCACAGAAATTCTTCGAATATGTCAGAACATGCAATAATACCAATAACGATCTTCCAAATGAAATGGAATATGATGGCAAAAAATGCTCCAACCCATACGAAATTGCCAATTCATTCGCAACACACTTTGGAAAAGCATATACACAACCGATTGATGGATCCGAAGCAAGCTATGATGAAAATGATCCGATATTGATTGACCGATGTACAAATTTCCCACGTATCAATGTCACTGAGGAATTGGTTATGGAAAAAATCCACGATTTACCAAACAATTTGGTGTCTGGTCCCGACGGAATACCGAATATGTTCATCAAAAACTGCATTCACACATTGCTGAAGCCAATAACACACATATTGCGTGAATCGTTAAATTCTGGTTGTGTACCGAACACATGGAAACGCTCTTATGTAAGACCAGTGCACAAAAGTGGAGCTAAGTACAAAATTGAGAACTATCGTGGAGTAGCACTGCAATGCATAATACCTAAATTGTTGGATTCGATAATTGCAAATCATTTGAATTATCACATGAGGAACATCATCGATAGCAGCCAGCATGGTTTTGTCAAAGGAAAGTCAACAATAACGAACCTGGCCGAATTTACATCACATACACTGATCGGCATGCAACATGGAATCCAGACTGATGCAATATATCTCGACCTTGCTAAAGCGTTTGACTCGGTTGACGTGAAACTGCTCATACACAAGCTGAAAATTATGGGATTGAATGAGCAAATACTGGAATGGATAAAGTCATATCTAAGTGAACGTCAACAAATAGTAAGATTGAATGGAGCCATGTCTACTCCCATTGAAGTAACATCGGGAACAGGTCAGGGATACCCGATTGGAGCGACACTGTTTGTTCTGTTCATCATTGATCTTCCCCATTGCATAGTCAACTCCAACTTACAATCGTTTGCCGATGACACTCGCTTTTCAATGCAAATAAAGCAAGTCGATGATTGCCTAGCACTTCAAGCTGACCTGAATAGAGTCGTCAAGTACTTCAAACGTAACCGCATGAACTTGAATGTCAAAAAAACGAATTACGTATCATATCACCGTGGCGAGCTGAAATTTGACTTCAAGTACACTATTGAAGGCAAATCAATTGACAGGGTAAAAATAATAAAGGACCTTGGAGTCGTTTTGGATGAAAAAATGAACTTCGATGCTCATATTGAGTACATAACTGCTAGAGCCAAATCTAGACTTGCGTGGATTAAACGTTTTGGAAGAGAGTTCGATGACCCATGGACTATAAAGAGACTCTTCTTCACGTTCGTATTGCCAATCATTGAATATGGATCGCAAATATGGAACCCATACACCAATGAGAAAATCGCTAGAATCGAATCAGTCCAAAAACAATTTCTACTGTTTGCGCTGAGAAAAATGAAATGGCCACACAGATTCATTTTGCCACAATACAACAATCGTCTGCTATTTCTACAAATGATTACCTTGGAAGAACGAAGAAAAATCGCACAAATTTGCTTCATACACAATGTTATCTGTGGCCAAACATCGTCGAAGCATATTATGGAGAAAATTAACTTAAGAACACCACGACTCCGAACACGGAACACCGAATTCCTAGAGCTGCCGACCAGAATCTACAACTTCTCAATGTTTGAGCCAATTAACTACATGCTCATCACATATAATGAATTTTATAAATGCTTTAATATCATAGAGCCAAATCAAACGAATGATTGTGATACTAGTACTATTCCAAAAATATATAAAACTTATTTAATTGATTTTAATGTTAGCACAAACACTGTCAAGCAAAGAATAACTGATTATTTTAGAAGAAATAGAACTTGGAGAGACTGAAAATACGAATTCATTATAAATATTGTAAATATATAACCAAATATTTATACCAAATAAACCACCTCTGGCGAAGAAACGCTGTATGGTGCAGAATAATAATAATAATAATAATAATAATACTACCACCCATGGGAAGAATTAATGCACTAGAGGATTAAAGCACTCACAAAAATTCCAACAAAAAGTGTTCAGTATTCAGGTCAATATAAAGAATTTTGTAAATAAAAAAATGCTTTTCGAGATTGTGTAAGAATTGTCACGGAATTGCCACGTAGTTTCATTTTTGCATTCCCTCGTCCTAATTTTGTCATCCTTACTTGAATTCGTACATTCACAATGCTTCGCATTTGAATATTTCACGCATTCGTATCCGCATTCGCATATCCGAAATTCGGCAAGTAGCGATAGAGCGTTCGCAAAACATTCGATATTGATAAAATGCGAATATTTTACGATTTATATTGTTTTCTCTCGTCCACGCAAACGCTTGCGAATGCATGTGCTTTTCAAATGCGAAGTATTGCGAATGTACGAATACGAGTATTAAGTACGAACACACAGATATAAAGTACGCGGCTCAAGAACAGCTAAAAAACAAACGTCAGTGAGCAGCAAAAAGATTCAGGTTCTTTTTCTGAGGTATTTTTTTGCACCCTAGATTAACTCAGACACCCATCGTGCAGGGTTGGTTCGTAATCATTTGAGAAGATCTTCAAAAAGTTCCATGCACACATGCCAATGTTTATGTGATATAAAAGAAAAAAGTCGATTTTTATGGAAAATCGACTTCCTTAAATTTCACACTGAACGCGATTTCTCACAAATCCGCCCAACCGATCTTAACCAAAAACTGATCGTTTGTAGTCGGCCACCATACCAACAAAATGGCATATGCCCCACACATCCGGGAAAATTTGTATTCCGAAGTTCTGGGCATCGGTAAAAGTGTCAAACGGACGGACTGGCCGTTTTTCTTGTCCGTCCGCCCGTCCGTTCAACTTGGTCGGACGGACGGACAATAGAATTGTTGGGGGCTCTGAACGGATGGACGGACGGACAACAAAATTTCTCTCGACTCTGAACGGACGGACGGTTGGACAAAAAATTACGTTTTTCATTGATGTTTGGCGTAAAAAATACAAAAAAAAATTTAGTAACGGCCAATTTATGTTGTTCGGGATACATTTAATCCGAGGGGTAAAATGGATTTACGTCAGAAGACCAAATTTTTAGATAAAATTTATACCTATCACATAGGAAATTGATGCTAAACTTTATTCCGGCTATTAATAATGTTAAAAGTATTTCAAATATTTTTTCACACCAAGATATTTGAAAAAAAAACTATCCCGAGGGGTAAAAATCCGAGAGGTAACCAAAGATGTATGCCCAAAAAAATATTTGCACCGAAACTTCAATTTTTTCTTAAATTCTCCGCATTCTCGTCATAAATTTTAATAATAATGACATTTCGAATCAGTTTTCGATTAAAATAATTTTTACATTTTTTTACCCCTTGGATTTTTACCAAGAGCTCAAGCTCGTGGTAAATTTTATAACAAGGTGATGAAGTGTGATTTTTATTTTAATCAAAAATTGATTCGAAATGTGTTGAGAATTATTATTTTGCAGCTATGAAAGGAAATAAATGAAATAAAGTGACCAAGCGAAGTTTCTTAATTAGAACGATGTTTAATGTATGATTATAGAAGCTGAAGTGAACAACAACGGAATGAGTGAATGACGGCTATGGTGTGTGTGCATGCAAATGTCAAAAGCAGTGAGAGCAACCTGTTAACGTTATATTTAAATCTGGCAAAACCAATATTTTCGACACTCCCACTTTTTGTCAACATTTAAAATTTTAAAATAAATTTACTTTACTTTAAATTTACTCTACTTAAAACACACAACACCGAAAAACTTTAACTAAATCTGATTCTTAATTAAATTCTCCTTCGATGTGATTCCCAGG